CTATTATTATTATTATTACTATTATTATTATTATTACTATTATTATTATTATTGACATCACCCTCTTCTCATTTTACAACTATATATATATTTTTTAGTTGAATAAAACCGAGCAAGCCAGGTTTTGTCTGTGGAGTCTCCTCTTTTGTTGCCAACTATGACCTAAGTTGGTAACAAGTGGGGGCTCGTTCATAGTTATGGATCCTTTTGGAATGAAATGGTGCTTTCTAAGTCTCTTGGTGTTTGTTTGTTGTTGGGTTTTTTTTCTCACAGTCAGTAAATATGACTGCTGACAACAAAAAGTAGACATAAAAATAAAAGTTTTGTGGTAATTTATGTCGGCACCACGTTAAAGGAGACTTCACAACATCTTGGCTCCCTATAGAGAGTTATACATTGTCTGCAAATATAAATTAATCTTAGTTTTGTGGTTTTGGAGCTGGTGAGTTTCGCTGTTGTTTATTTGGTGGACCAATTCTCCTGGCAGGTTTCAGATAGTTCTGGGAATCTTGATTTGTTTTTTGTTTTAGGTCAGAGCAACTTGTGTCAGGTACATTTCCATAACTTTCTAGGTAAGCCGTCAGCTGCCTGGTTGCTTATCAGAGTCACTGGGTTATGAGTTTAAAACACCCACCACCAAAATGCATGCAGACTAGGGTGGGGCCTATCCTGTACGTTTTTTGGTTAGGTGGCTGGTTATGGGAGAATGAGCCCCATTATGTAGGTGTTTCTCACTAGTAGCTGGCTTAGTGTTTTCAGACAATGATTCTAATTTTGTAACTTTGAAAACTGTATCAGTAGTTTTTCCCCTTTTTGCAGGATTTTCACAGGAAGTGACCAGTACATTTTATGTTTCTAGGGTTTTTGTGTGTGTGTGTGTGTGTGTGTGTGTGTGTGTGTGTGTGTGTGTGGAGATTGCTAAGTTTTTCAAACTCCAAATGAACATTTGTTGGTTGCTTCAAAAAAAGAGCAACTATTGGAAGTGACAAAATATGTTGGTACCGTTTCTTCTGAACAATCCAAAAAAGAATTTGTTCTTTTGTTTGTTTGTTTTTTCCAATTACAAAGGAAACATTAATTGAGAAGGATTTGTTGTGGGTAGAAAGTGGCAGCAGAAACATGTTAGCTGCTGTACCAGAGTTTTCTCAGTTAATAACCAATATAGTTCCTCCCTGCTTTAAACTTTGAACAGCAGAAAGAGTTGTTAATGTTGGAGCATCGACAAATTTTAGAGCGTGAGAAAAATACTAAAGAACAGGAACTTGAGTTGGAAAAGTTTAGATTAAATGTTCGTTTGTGTGAATGTGAATTAAAGCAGAGGGAAGAGAGAGACAGCGTTTAGAGCGATACAGACTAGATCTGATTAAAGAATAAAACATTTCTGATTCCAGTCAGTCGAGCTCAGCAGATTAAAAAAAAATATATATATATATTGATGTCTATGCTAATCTAAAACCAGACACATTGTTTTTGTGGACCTTCCCATCTTTTTTTTTTTTTTTCCTCAAAAGTTCAACTCTTACCAAGTGGAGAAGGAAGCATTGGTTTTAATATGGACCATACAACATTTTGAAGGTCCATGCACTATTGTAGTTTATACAGATTATAACCCCCTTACATTCTGTCCAGAATCTCAATCACAGTGTTATGAGATGGTGGCTAATTGAGCCATATTTTATGGGAGAGGGTGTGATGGCTTGGGAGCCCTGGGTTTTGCATGTTTGTTTCTCCCTTTCCGTGGTAATTGGGTTGGCTTGTTACAGATCCAGTTGTGCGAGAAGTGGGCGTGATGGCTATAAAGGTAGCTCCTACACAGTGCCTCTGTGCTCCCCTTTCTGACTCCCTCCGGGCGACTGGCTTGCCAAATGGGTAATATTTTAGGTTACAGCTCTTTTTTGTTACTTCGTCATTTACTCTTACCAGCTTTCAGGCAGGACGTTTACTTTTCTTATTGATATAACCCTCTTCTCGGGTCGGGGACTACAGGTGGAAATTGGTGCCAGAGCTAATGCACCTTTCCTGTGTGGTTGCACGGACAATACTGCACATTGTCCCTGTTTTAAATAAATAAATCGTAAATCGTACGTCGTAAATCTCATTTTACAGCAAACTGTTTTTTTTTTTTTTTTAGTTATATAAAATTGACCAAGCTAGGCTTTGTCCGTGGCGCCTCCTCTTTTGTTGCCAACTATGAGCCAAGTTGGTAACATTAAGATTTACAGTTTTTCTTGATTGCTTTCGTGCAGCTGTCGACTCAAACACCACATTTTCGAAGTATTTAACACGCTGACCTAAACAGCTGTGCTCATAGTCAAAGTGACACGTTTTGTTTGCAAAAGGGCGCTAAGGGTGCCAAAACATTTAAAATATGAAACAAAAGCAAATGTTGCCTTCGCACAACATGCCAACAGCTTGTTTGCCAGTTGCGAAAACACAACTGGCAACAAAGTGTATGAGCTCTTCCAATCAATCATTACATAATGGACAAACAAAATAAAATACAGCAGTAGATTAGTGCTGGTGTTTTCAAAGTATGGGAGAGCTAGCTACCTCAGAGAGCAGATAGACAACCCGCCCCCTTTATGTTGTATTATTGCTACTATTTCTGTAAACGTTTTGCTGTTGCTTTTTTTGATGCTCCATTCATGCATTTCTGACTGATGTTGTGGGGTTTACCTGCTTTAGCTGTGCATAAGCAACACATAATATGATGCTAGCATTGCTCTTTCATTGACGGTGCTAAAACTACTTTCTGATGTGACCGCAGTAAAAAAAAAAAAAAAAAACTCCTGGGTCTTTACAGACAACACTGTGGCAGTGAAACATCTTCACATCCAGTCCATGAAAATCCTAACGTGAAATAATCGTGGTCATACTTCCATATTTAAATTTCGCTTGACTCAGATTACGTCTCTTTACCCAATGTAGCTTTAGCTACTAAACATCTATCAGTTTTGTCTCTGCCATAAGCTTTGTGAAGTTGGCTAAATGTTCACAGTAACTTTTTCTAGGTTTTTTTTTTCCTCCTGTCACGCCCTACCGTTTGAAAATCCCCAGCATAGCCCGTGATATCACTTTCATACTAGCACCATTTGTTATCTTTCCACATAGGCTGTGTCAAATTGTTCTTCTTGACAAAAAGTGCGATGATCCAGAATCAGAAATGCTTTGATGTGTGACGTTTTTGTAAACTGTGCCTAAAAAATTAGAAACTGTACTCTAAATGTAAACAAAGAAAGAAAAACACAGAGAATAAGAAAGTTAGGGGGGAAAACTGTTACAGTAAAAGAAAACCTGCCTTGAATAACACAGACATGGCATATTTTAAGGCCTGGAGGCTAATTGCTAAGTGAAAATCTTAGGGGAAGCAGATTTATACTGATGTATGTAGCTTCTAATAGCTAGAAAAAGGTGATTTATGTTTGATTACCACATATTTAATTTACAAGAAGCGTCTTCTGCTGAGATGAGGGAATCCCAGTTCATTTAAGCTGGTCAAAGCAATCAATATAAACTAGAACACCCACAAATATTTAACACTGGATGTTTTAAATCATTTTGTTGTCGCAAAACTCCTTTTCAAGCCCAAACTTGCACAGCCTGATGCCATTAATGCTGTGCTTCTATGAAGAGCTTTGTTTTATCACCTACAGTTACAAACAGAGCTATGCTATAACGCACCCTGGCTCATCCATTGAAATTTTCTCTTTTTTTGTATTCGTAACAACAGTCGTTCCACCATTACCCATTTTCCATTGTGCAGCGTTTGACACGGGCTCAAGCCACAGCTTCAAACTGCTCAGAAACTATTTAGATGTTTGTCTGGCGTTTTCTTCCGCTGCTTCAAGCAAAATCAATTTAGACTTCCTTACACCAGTGCCACATGTTTAGAGTAAAATAGCAGTTTTACTAGCATGAAATTCTTTTACACTACCAACCACTGAGAGTAAGCTTTTGGCACATGCCTCACAGTCTGGGATTTATTTTCAAGCTTAACAGTGTTTCCTTTTTATTTTAGAGCTGCAGGACATCTTCATCTTTATTGGGCAAGTGTGGATTTATTTTGTGGACATTTTATTGTATTTTTATTGAATCTTCCTTGGCCTGCTCCCCCCTGATGTTGCCACAGCAGATTACCTGCCATTGCCTTACCTTACCAGTGTTTATTGATCTCTGTTTTCACTGAAAAGCACCTCAATAAATGTAAATTAAACCCGCTTTATGGATCAATTATGATCAATTGATTGATTCTGGAACACAGAAGCAGCTCCTTTGTCTTCCCAGCTTCACCAGTGAAACAGCAAGTCTTTTACAGCAGCACAGCGATCATTCATCTACATCGTGATGCTGTAAATAAGCACAAGTGAATCTGATTATGGGATTTAGCTTCAAGGGGAAAACATTTTAGTAATGACGTAAATTGTTATGGCAGTGGACACAGCAATGTAAGTTGTGCCGAATTGTTACTATTAGTAATAATAATAATAATAATAATAATAATAATAACAATAATAATAATAATAACGTTAATCATAATAATAATCTGAATATTTTAAATGTACAGTGCAGAACATGCAAACAGTGTAAAGTCTGATCTTTGTTAAAACTGGAAAAAAAAAAACCTCGTTAAATATATTCTTATATTTAGAGAGTTTCTTATCGTGCCAGGGATGTGAAGGAAATGTTTGCCTTGAGCAAAACATCCAAATAAAGCTGGTGGCAGGTCATAAAAATGTGATGCGCACATGAAAGCGTGATGTAAAACTGCAGGCAGGGAGCATAATCGTAGATAATAGGACGCTTGTTTTGGGTAGTCTCGTGGAAACGCGTTTCAGAGTGTTAATTAATTACAGCGTAGCCTACGTTTATTAGTCTGCAAATTATGAATCATTCTGCGCTCTTGTTAGTCGTTCAATGAAAGAAAGTAACATATTTAGACCGTTTTCCTGCTGCTGACTTTAATCAAAGCGTATCCGAGTAACTCCGACTCTCACTTTAGGAGGAGTTTGCGACTCCTGTTGCTCTGTGAGACTTTTACCAAAACGCCTAGCACAAAGAGAGATCGGGCCGAGCTGCAGATAAACCGTTCCCGGGGACCAGCTGGGGGATTTTCTGTCGTGCAAAGTCCAGTCTCGTGGCCAAGCGAACTCTTTCTGGGAAATGAGCCAAACCAGCCGACAGTTATCTTGCAGCTCCGTTTGGTCCGGGGTTAAGAAAATAAAGGCAGGCGACGCGGTGAGAGCTCTCGGCATGGCGCAAAAAACTGAGGAAAATCCAGTCGGTTTCACGAAAAGCTGCGCAGGAAACGGCAGGTTTGATGAATCCGATAATAATGCCAGGAGCTGCGGGTCTGGGTGCGTTAATCCGCCAGCCCGTGACATTGAGGCGCGCTGCTGTCAGACAGCTGCTGCTCCTCAGGAGGAGTTGTTAAACGCTGACACCAGATCCTTTTCTGCGTGCGCCACAATCTCAGAGACAGCCAGAGAGCTGTGCAGAGCAGTGTCCGTTTCTTTGGGTCTCACCATGGAGTCCAGTGACATGAGCGACGTGGACGCCGCACTCCCCCCATGTGCGGCAAATGACCAAATCAGCGGAGAGTATTTTTTCGGGGTGGACGCCGCGGCTGTGAGCTGCCCCGATGCCCAGACCCAGATTACTTACAGGTGTCCCGACCGGGAAGAGCGACCTGTGCACGGCCAGAAGCCAGCCGTGAAGATGTATAAAAGTTCAGAGACGCCTGCGCATTTTCATCACCTCGCCTCCAGCCGGACGTCTGTGAACGCGCAAAACTTTACACCGTGCGAGGCTGAGGACACGGATCACCTGAACGCAGCCCGCACCGTTTCATGCCCTTACGCCCCAGACCACTTAGCCCACTTCGCACACACTTCGACGGCGGCGGTGGCGGCGGCCAACGAGAGGCCATGCAGAGCGGCTTACAACCCTCAGGAAGGAGTGCGGGACTTCGTGGACGCCCCGGAGAGCGACTCCGGCGGGTACCAGCCGGACCAGTACAGCGTCAAAATCAAGTCCGAGGGAAACGATGGTTGGGGGTCCTTCTGGGGCGGCGGGTACACCTTCAACAAAAGGTACAACACGCAGTTCTGGGGGTCCAGGCAGTGCATGAACGCACACGAGTCTGGACCGAACGCGGCGTTCATATGTAATCCATACGAGGGGAGCGTGGTGCGCCCGGAGCAGTGGTATCCCGGCGGTATGCTGAGGACCCCCTATCCCAACTCCGGAGACATGAAGAGCCAAGTCGGTGAATGGCTGGATGTAGTCTACAACGATACCAGGTAATTCTATTATTATTATTATTATTATTATTATTATTATTATTAAAGGATAACCAAATAACTGGTTTTGTAAAAATTCTACTTTTTTACACTTTTTAAGTTGTGTGTAAATATATTTATAAATATATATACATTTGAAAAATAAAGTGGACTAGCTTTCTTTCTTTCTTTCTTTCTTTCTTTCTTTCTTTCTTTTTCTTTTTTTTTTTTTTTAGTTCGCGCTTTGTGGCTAATCAGATCACCAAAAGTGATCCTATTCATCCTGAATCCCATTAAGGATCACGCAGTCTGAGCTTGCTTGTCGGTCTGTCATGATGTAGAAAGAAGTACAAACTTTTTACAGAAGTACGCATAAAAGCAAGCAGCAAAACAAAAAACGACAATCTAGAGATTTTGAGTTCACTCTGACTTTACGGGGAACACAAAAAAGCAAAAACAAAAACAAAAACAAAACAAAAAAAGCAACAAAAAAAAAACAAGTGCTATTCTTCAAGTCTCCAAATAATCACAGCGACTTTATTGGTCTGTCCTGTTATTCACGGCATATAGGACAATTAAAATAATTCCTGTGCTAATTGATAAAACGTCTGGTTAAGTCAGTTTTCAACATAAACGCCAGAGAAATAAATAAATAAAAATTACGAGAGTCAAGAGTGTTTGAGTAATTCCTTATTTTATGTGATTCCCAAGCTCTACCATTTGGTTGCAATCAATCATATGTGCCCTTTAAAACCATGTACCCTAATCAACTTCTCTGGTGTTTCTGACTGACATTAAATGGCCACAAAAGAAAAAAAAAACTTCGAAAGCATCAAACCTATAATGAGATAAAAACATGTGTTTCATCTTAGCTAGCATCCTGTTTATTCCTTGTAGACAGCTGTTGTAGTTGCATTCCTACTACACGTGTCTTTTTTTCATTAGAAACCAAATCATGTCCAAGTTTCTGAGAGGATTTTACAGCTCTCACTCAGCTCACGCAAATTAATTCGAAAACGTTGACCAGACAGACATTCAAGCTCATTATATCAGATACATATTTGAGTCACATGAATGTGTCTTGAATTAAATTTATGAACAGAGTTAAAATCAGTCAGCATGTGATGAATGCTACTTTGTAATGAAAAAAAAAACAAAAAAAACAAAAAACAAAAACAAACAACAACAAAAAACAACAAAAACAGTTTTATTACCCAGGCGGTCTGTTTTAAGATTTTTGGACCAAACAAATAGCTGATGGTGAAGTCTCATAACTCTCTTGCTTAGGTAAAAACCATTAGAATCCTGCATGCTGGTCGGCCAGAAGCCCACGCAAACAGCATTCGCTCAAGCAGTAGAATAGAATAGCTTTGAAGCAAAAATAATCAGCAAAAAAAAAATTAGCTTTCCATAATATCATGAAGCTGTATTCTTTTAAACATCACAAAACCAGTAATTTGACTCAATGCTTGGCGTTGTTGATGATGAAGGATGTGCTATGAAGGCAAATGATTTTAATGCCCCGTTCTAATTTGCATGTGTGTGCTTAACTGACTCCATTTTTTTTTCTTGTAACAAAGTATTCGTATTTTCTTGCTCGAATGACTGAAAGGAAAAATCTGTAGCTAATATGTTGTATGTATTGGATTTGTTTTGCTTAGATAGAAATTCTTTGAAGATCTGCACTCAAACTTGCATCTCTATGTTCTTTTATGACTTAGTTTGGTTTATAACGCCGAATGGACCTGGTGTGGGGATGTTGATTGACTCTAGAGTCATATATTACACAGCCGAGGGCTTTTCTCCAACTGTCTGAGTTCACTGAAGGTAATGACTCAGTGTGTGCACTCTCAGACTCCGTTTTTTCTCAGAAACCATGCATGTAGGTGCAACATGTTTTTGTAATTTGCCTTTTAATGTTTTGACTGTAGAGGGCGACAAGAAACATGCAACTGATCTCCCCACTCACTGGACTTTTTTTGTACTTTTTTTTTTTTTTTTTTACAGTTTCCTTTTTAGACAACAAGGTCATCCTAGTTCACCAGACGGTACTATGGTCTAGCGGTCTTATCCAGAAACCTGTTTACTGCAAAACAGCTATTTCATGTGGTTAAACATTCAAATGAACAAGAAAATTCAGCAGACACCCTTAACTATTAATTAACATGTGCAGCAAAGATCTGCTGCTCATCTGTATAAAAGCTGCTCTCATCTGAACCTTTCCTCGCAGCAAATTGCTAAAAAAAGCACACACATCGTGTTGCTTAAGACAAAAAGTTTCGTTTTAAATGAAAATGCCAAATCAAAGCAAGTCAAGTTTATTTGCGCAGGACATTTTAGCAACAAGGGAGCTCCGAGTGCTTTACGACATAAAAACAAAATGCATTAGCCAATTATGAAACGAGCAAAACAAAAAAACATCACATTTTGTCAAAAATGCTCTCGTCAAAATCGTCAAGTGTGTCGATCAACATTCTGCTTGTTCTGAATCAGAGGCAACTCTAAACCATGGGGTTCAGCCTTCATTTTAAATAACTCACCTTTTCAGCAGTTTTCTCAAATTTGTTCCAGATTAGTCTCGTCGTGAGTTTCTTAGTATCTTTTGCAGCACGATAACGTGCATCACGTGGTATCGTTTGCTGATGGAATCATGACAGCAGAACCCATGCTAAAGTTAATAAGCATGTCCCATAAATTTAACTTGGAATCAAGTTGAGAATTCAGAGAGGTGCGAACAAAATAAGAGCGAGACTGCCAGGCCGCAATAAGTAAAAGTGCATGAGAAATATTAATGCTTTTGCAAGGCATGCGGCCTAATGGTGGTCACTACAACAAATCATGGTAGCTGGTCAATGCAGAACAGCAGACCACGTCTCAGAAACTTGGACGGAAACAAATGGCCTGAAATGGAAAGTGTCAGCTGGGCACCTGGAGATGAGCAGCATAAATATTTGACAGGTAGCCGAGATGGTTTTTGTCTCGCATTGATGCTGAAAATGCATCAAAATGAGGCAACATTTACCATCACAGCTTTATATATGCTATAGTTTTATTCTTCTAAAATAGTAAAAACCCAAATGATTTAATGATTCATTTATTTATTTTTTAAAAAGATAATAATTATTGTTTTCTAATTGATTCTCCAGGAGTCTGAATCCAAGTGGAAACGTTGAAAGTTTTTTTTTTTTTTTTTTTTCCCACTTACCTCAAAATCCAATATGGCTGCCATGTTTGAGACATGGCAATAGCTACAATAATAAACTGCGCTAATTTATACTTCTGACAGTTTGTTTCTCCAGATTAAATCTTTTTGATAGATACTTTTGTTTGCACTTGCTTTATATGTATCTGTTTGTGAGCATATTCAAATAAATAGCATGCAAAGAAACACGCTGCTGTTAGCTCGTATTGCTAATAACATCTAACTTGTGACTGAGCACAACTTTTAGCAAATTTACAGAGGTTTAAATTGTTCTTTTACCAAGTGCATGCAATGTACGAACCCTTTTTTTCCCCCACTGCGATCCATTTTACTGCTCTTTCTCAAACCTCTGTCCTTATAGATTTTACAGGACCAGGCACTCACCTCCAGCAATCTGTTTCTGTAACCCAAAACTGAGCATACTCTTTCTCCTTCTTGCCATTTGTTGTCGTGGGTCGGAGCCAACCAATAAGGCTCTCTATGGGGAGGGGTGAGGAATTAAAACGCAGAAAAACAGAGGTCAGAAATCTTCAGTAAAATGCATCTGCAAATGCACTCTGCCTATGGTTGTCTGGATTGAAGTCTATTTGCTGGCACAAGTACAAGGCTCTTAAATCTGCTAAAGCAGAAACTGCAAGAAGAGAGGACCTAAGCGAACAGGTTTAACCCAGGCTGGCAGGATGTTGAGGTTTTTGAGGAGAAAGATGCAGAAAGGACAGGATTTTGTGCAAGAGTCATTAGGTCTAAATGCAGAAAGTTTTGAGAGAGAGAAAGAGAAAGAGAGCGCATGGCAGGCTTGCAAGCAAGCAGGATGTTTTTAAGTTTGTGAAAAAAGCTGAAAGTTTGTTTTTGTCAAGTTGAAAGTATTGTACTCTTGGGTCACAAAAGTATTATTTTTTTAAATTATAAAAGCAAAAGTTATTGTAAAGGTTTTTTTTTTACACCAGCTCAAAACTACAATACATATATGGAATATATTAACAAAAAAAGCAGTCTGATTTTTGTAGAAAATGGATCTTTAATCCAAAGTAAACATAAAACGTCTCTGGTTTATTTGCATATCTAAAAGAAAATCAAACAAATTTAAAAATGGTTGTTTTATTAATTCTTTTTCTTATTTCTTACCAGTATTTGGGTCACTGTTTTGCTATATTTTGAAAAGTTAAACAAAAAGTAGCACAAAAGTATAAATGTCACTGGTTATTAGTGGTCCTATTTAAAATGATAATATAATTGTCTAACCTCCACTGTTGGCATTAGGATGATCGTAATTTATAACCGTTTTGAGGTATTAGTCTTAAAAAGCACCCATCTTTCCCTCAGTCAGGGCTTGCACACATTTCTTTCAGTTTTGAATTGCAGTCTGGAGCCGAACAAACTCATTCCGGGGGGCGCAAATGGTCCCTGGGTGGCGCTTTGGACACTCCTGCCTTATAGTGGAAATAAGAACTTCTGCTGTTAATTTCAAAATTTCTATTCTTTATCCATACACACGTGTAGCTCCACACAAATCCCACTGGTTCTCCAACTTGCAGCGGGAGCATGGTACAGACCTGAGGGCTAAGGAGCCATTTCACTTTAAACCTGTTTTTCTTCTGCTATTCTTCCTTTTGCTTCTCTTTTGAAATTAATTAAGTTGGTAAGCGTTGTATTTATCTTACTTTGAGTATTACCAGAGGTAAACCAAATACCCCCAGAAGCTGTGGCCGTACTTGGGTAACATGCATGAGAACCATGGCAAATCAGTATGCCAAACAAGCATAAATAACATGGAGGTGGTCATAAACATCATGCTGTGATGCATAAACCAAAAGGAATCTGTGCATGGATTTAGGCCGACTTTCAGTCTTCGGAATCGGTTTAATGTATTTAACGGAGGAAAACTTCAAAGGGGCTTCGTAGAGCTGAGCCACTTTCCTTCCTGAATCGTTCCCAAACTACCCCTGCATGCGTGTAAATCTCGAAACTGTCTCAAATACTCCCTCCTTACTTTAAAGTCAGCATTATTAGATTCTGCTGAATGCCGGTGGTTTTCTTTCATACATAAATATACCTATATATACTTGTAAACATTAAGAACATTAAGACAACTCCTGTGTTTGTGAGAGAATTCCTGCTTTTTTATTAAAAGTTGGAAACATGTCTGATTAGTCATGGCAGCTTCCTGTTTACAAACAACAAAACACCATGTGGTTTGCGTCATCCTGGATCATCCCATTCCAGAGTCTTTAAGCTTTCATCCTCTGGCTGGGATGTGCGCGTCGTCAATAAAAAGGCCAATTTACAAGCCTGAGAAGTCTTCAAAAACAGCAAAATCCCCCTCTCGACATAATGAGAGTGAATTTACTCCGTAAAAATGACCAGTACGCCTTTTGACATTTCCTGCTAATCGGGACGCTTCATCCTTGTCACCTTTAAACCGAACCTTCGTATCTATCTAGTACGTCACAGAGGAAACATTGTGTCTGAGGCTCCTTTGTTATCTCTTCTCTCAAGGCTGCAGCCGGCCCAACTTAATCCACATCTCATCCCACAGCTACAGCGCGGGCGCTCCGTGCTTTTTCCACACCATGCTCTGTTCAAATCTATATAAGTTGCACCTTGTTTGTGGTTAGACATTGGGAATTATATTAGGTGTTTTGTGGTGCTCAGCTTTAGGCCTAATTTGTCCGCAGTGGGTGATACTTTCACAAGAAAAAAAGGAAACCGAACATGGAGTTTTAATACAAGAAAAGGGGAAAAAAAATGATTCCACTTACAATAAAAAAAAAAAAATCCGCAAAAGAAGTAAAATCATGTGTTTGCTTGCTTGAAGGTCACCATCAGAGGTACACACGTTTGTTTCATCTCATGTTTGACTGCAGGTTTGAGGCTGGCAGAGAGCACATGTTCCCCATGGAGTTCTTCTTCCCTCCTCAGAGAACATGCCTGATTTGCTCAGATGAGGCATCTGGCTGCCATTACGGTGCGCTCACATGTGGCAGCTGCAAGGTTTTCTTTAAAAGAGCTGCAGAAGGTAAATTAGAAGTTCCAACTTGGATTTACAGTTTGGTGCCGGCGCTTGAAAAACCCTCCACGTATTTATTGCTTGAGTTTCTTTCTGTTTTTGACAATGGAAGCACTTAGTAGTTAAATGAGATTTCTTTTTTTGTTTTTCATTGGATCATGTTTCAGTGGCTCAACTAACCCATGGTTTGCCTTTGTATCAAATAGGTAAGCAGAAATACTTGTGTGCAAGCAAAAACGACTGCACCATTGACAAGCTAAGAAGAAAGAACTGCCCCTCTTGTCGGCTAAAGAAGTGCTTTGAAGCTGGGATGACTCTTGGAGGTAGGGCAGATTGTTTTAAGATGTCTTTTCATTAATATGATTACATAACCAACTAGTGAATAAGTAGGAATGTAGCCTGTATACATTGCCATGCAAAATTATTCACTCCTCTTGGACACATTTCAGTACATTCCAGGCACAAACAGCTGAGGTTTTTGGGGGGGATTTTCGAATGAAGGAGTAGAGTGTTTCTATGAAATGGAATGAAAGCGATTCATGGTTTTCACAAAATGTAAATAACAAAAATCTCAAAAGGGCGGCGCACATAGTTTAGCCCCCTGGAGAATCAACAGGTTATAGAACCGCGTCTTGCTGCAGTTTCCACAGTCAGACTGGATGGAGACTCTCTGAATATCAGTTTCCACAGATTCTTTGCAGTAGATTCCCAGATGGATTAAGGGTCAACAGTTTGACTTTTGGGTAGGTTTTCAGCTGTGATCTACAACACATTTAGAGTGTTTCATAACCTAACCCTGCTTCAAATCGCTTTGCACTTTACATAAACGTTTATCAACGCATACATTAAGTGTTAAAGTTTACAGAGATTTACTTAGTAGTGAAAACATATTGTGCACACTTCACCTAAGATATACGTCAAACTAATGATGTGCACACACACTTGTATACAGACACACACAGACCTGTAGACTAAAAAGCTGCGCTTATCAGGTCACTTCATGCCACTTCATTCACCGTCAGCCAATCTCTGCTGGATGCTAGCTCTGCTTTAGCATTGGGAAGTTTTTATAAAGTGTTCCCAAAAAAACTTGCTGATGATAAACAAAGACCAGCTGGTTGAAAAGGGATGTCCAAAGTGTACACTCCCCTGTTTAAAATGCCAAGATTTTGTGGTTTTTGCACATGTCTGACATTTATCTTGTACAGTTCAAGTGAAACACAGAGATAATCCATCATAAAGAAGAATGTAAAAACAGGAAAAAAGCTGCTGCATCTTGGTTGCACTTTCAGTTTTCAGTCTTCTTTGGCGCACAGCTTGCATTGCTTGGAAGAAAATCGGTGCAACATCAATAAAAGTTTAACTGTTTTTGTCTTGTCAGGATACTCCTGGCATTTACTCATTTGCATCCCTTAGAGAGAGTCATAGTTTGCAGGAAGATCACAGACGATTAAATAAATGTAATTGTACAAAGGTCATAGTCAGGATTAAGGTACAGAAAATTATATCCATACCATCCAACTTGGTAAAGACAGTAATCATTGATTACATAAAATCTAAAACGGTGACATTAGAAAAATGGGATATTTCTTTAAAAATGGTAACTATTCCGGATTTTACGAATTAGTGACTTGAAATCACTTGACACCAGATGTCCCTAAAATCTGACAGGTTTGGAGAACCTTTATAGTGTGCAACTGAATCCAAAAATGTTTCAGCCTAATATAAGTTATGATGTCTTTTTTTTTTTCTTCCTCAAAGAAGATGTATTTGTTTTCCAGTTGAATTGTGCTGAATAAATGTCACATCATAATTTGAAAATCATTTTGAATTATTCCTCATGGTCTCATGTTTTCTGTCACAAAAGCCTGACATCTTTACAGGAGAACTATTGTATGTCAGAAATCAGAGGCGGTCCGAGCCTGGTGCTCTTGGCAAACAACCCCACTGGCCCACATCCCAAAACTTAAACTTATGTTTTTCACATTGAGAGTAAAGTTTTTCTTGTTTGTTTTTTTTTTAACCAAAAGCTGACTGAAATATGATCTCATCTGGTATTATATGCACCTGTCCATGTAAGAGTCCATAGAATCAGTGTGTCCAAATGAAGTTGATTTCTGGTTTTCTCCTTGTTCATCTAATAGTTGCTTTTCGCTCTAAGACTAACCAATACTCACTGATTATTTTAACCCACAGTCATCACGCTCAGGAGGAACACGGCAAATGTAATGGTCGGCCGGTGAGCGTGATGGGGGTTGTCACCATCAGTTTTCAAAACCGCCCAAAGCAGTCCCTCATAAAAGCGCACATGGGGTCAGTGTGACCCGGCTGGACCACGCACACTGTAAAACAGTTGTGGGGTCTAAATTACCCCATCTGTTAAGACCACAGGTCTTAAGAAATGTTTTTTGCTAGTATCATTTGAGAAATTTTTGGAACTGATTGGTTGGCTCTGAGTTTGTTTCAGTTTTGAGCTATCGCTCTACATTCATTGCTACACTGACCCTGCTCTTATTATACCTATTCTGACACCCTCACCCATTACCAAACACTCTAGCACACACGTTTCTGCTCTTAAACTCTCCTGATTTGTATTGATTGTGTTGGTGGCATAAAATTCCACCAACTACTTTATGTACAGCCGAAAACAAACATTTTTACACTCTATATAAAAATGCACAAACTTTTTTTTCCCCTCACCATCTGAATATTTCCTGTTTTATCTTGGTAAAGATCATCAAAATTATTCCAGTTTGCTTTTTTTTTTCTTTGTTTTTTTTTTTACATTCAGAATTCACATTTGGTAAAATTGCCTTTCAGACTGCAAGGCGTGAGTTGAGCATTTTGGACATCCCTCTCAAGACTCAAGTTTTGCCTTGCTCACACCAAGATCAGGACATGATGATGCGCTCTTAAGACATTGGCTTTGTTCTCCTTAAATGAGTTTGTAACTAATTTGCTGTGATGCGTAAGGTCATTGTTACTTTGGAAGACCCATTTGTGCTCAAGTTTTAACTTCTTGGCTGATGTCCTGACCAGTTGTTTCTGTATTTCCTTGTAATGTTCTTTTCTGTATTTATGAAATCCAGCAATCCCTGAAAAACATAACACATGGTGCTGCCACACTGTGCTTTACAGTTGGGATGGTGAACTCAACCTTGCAAGCGTCCCCCTTTTAAAGATGGAAATACGAGATGAAAAATCATGGTCATTTTACCCAAGCTCTTCAGTCTCAGTTTCATCATAACACAGGATCGGCACCAAAAGTTATGGCTTTTGTTCCCAAGAGCATTTGCAAGATATAATCAGCTTTTTATGTTGCTTTTGGAGTGATGGCTTCCTCCTCTTTGAGTGACTTTTCATTCCATGTCAGACCAAGATTTGTGTCACTAGTTTTAGTGACACAATTACACTATCTTACCAGCTTTTTCCAGTATCTTCACAAGGTGTGTTGCTTTTGTTCTGGTGGCAATACACACACACTTTTTGCACCAAAATACATTCATCCCTGGGGAACAAAACATGCCTTCTTCCAACAGTTTGATGGCTGGGTTATTTGTTTGACAATCCACAATAATTTTCCTTAATTTTTCCATCATGCCACACAAGAAATAAATATGTTCCAATAAAATAAATCAACAGGTTAGCACAAATATTTTTAATTAACACGGTGAAGCTTACAGAGTCAGTAGATGATGGATCTGGGATATAAAAAAACTGTTTAAAGGCAAACAATTTATAGCGTATGCAAACATATGAAATTTAAAAAAAAAAGAAAAAAAAAGCATTTTTACATTTACTAAATAGAAATTAATTCTGATCATTTTAACTGACCAACAACAAATTAAGCTTAGGCTGATGAAAAGAATTATATATAAAAAAGATGATTTCTTGCTTTTTTTTTTTTGCTAGTTAGAGGTTTAAAGGGGGAAGGGCATTATGGAAATTAACTTTTTTGAGGTTGATATCATGTAGTTATGTTATTCCCTCATCAAAAACATACCTACAGTTTAACACTCTAGATATTTCATGCACAATGACAGAATGCATAACTCTTTCATGCATGTTTGAGCAATCTTTTAATCTTCCATGACAAATGTTTGGGGTGCCTGAACGCTTACTTTCATACAGTGTTGTCTATTTTAACAAAGCTCCACCTTGGAGCTGCAGTCTCCAAGCTGAGCCTCCACCTCACAGAGCACTGATCTCCTTGGCTCCTCCCCTTGGCTCCTCCAGACTAGTGGCAGCAGCAATTAGCAAACACCTGAAAACTTGAGAGTCTTCTGAGTTTATCATACAAACTACTTCTCAGCCCAACGTTCTTAAGAACGGTTGAAAATGGCATAATGGAAAGACACTGATGACACTCAAACAGAGTAGGAGCTTCTTAAAGAGACAGAGGCCCAATTTCCAGCTGTCAAATTATGAAGTCAATTTTTTTTCCTGTTATGTTTGATATATACAGCACTTTTCTGACTACTGAAGATTACTGAGTTATTCGATTATGGTTAAAAACATTTTTACTTTGTGCCTGGTAAATACATAACATTGTCCTGTTAAATAATCAAAAATGCAACAATAGAATAAATCTACCATATTCACAATAATAAAAATAACTTCTAATTGATTTAAATACAAATTTCTAAAAACAACAAAAATAAACAAAATCACAGCCATGCTGGGAACCATACAGCTTTAAAGGCTTGGTGAATATAAAGCATGCCCATTTCTCTATTTGTGAATACACACAGCTCACGCTAAAAATCTACAGAGCCTTCACCACCTTACCAACTGTGCACACATTATAAATATACATTTCTAAAAAGTGCTGTGAGGACTTTAGCAGAGGCTGCGCAGTAGTTTCTAAATGAACAAAGGCCACTACAAAAAAAGTGAAGTCCTAAAAGTGAAACTATTAGTGGTTTTCCAAGACCAAGTACTTTATTCTCTGCACTGCACATCACCACTGGTTCTCTTCAATTGGAGCATCATCACAATAGGGGATGTTACTGATAATCAAGCCCCTGGCTGAGCTGCCATGCAATTTAGACCTCTTCCATTCACTTCTCCTTACTGTGACCCAGACCTGTTCGTCAAATTAGGCTGCAGAGATTGACATGTAGTGGACTAATTTTGGTCTTGTGTTCAATTTTCACTCTCTCCCATTTTCTCATTCTGCTAACGGGGAAAATTGTGCTGAAGGCACAAAGCTGACACGAGACATGTGAATTAAAGCTGCAGACATATTGGTAATTTCGCCACCAGTCACTGACAAACCCCGCGGAGGGAAAATGTGATCTAATGCTGTGATTGTAGTAAAAAG